TCCCCACCACACACACACACTTCCCAAGTGCAGGCACATGGACCACTTGCTTCCCAAGTGAGCCTCCCCAGAGCCCTTCACAGCACTGGCCTCGGTTTGATCCAGTGCAGAATGTGAAAGCAAGCACTACAGTAAAGGTGGCTGGGACACTGAAAGGCAAGGAGCCCCCAGGACACACCCACCACCTTCGCATCTGATAGAACTGCCTTTGCTCCCCCAGAGCTCACCATCTGGGAACCTCCAAACCTATGCAAGCCCTAGGCTCATGGAAGAACTAAACGTAGCACCCGACAGCAAGGCTCTTCCTTGGAGGTCAGGGTGGGGCCCCAGTTCCACACGCCACTACAAATGCTCGCATAGGGTTTGTCCTTCCCAGACTCTGAGAGTTCACTCCCCCACCCCGTGAGGTATGACAACGGTGGAAGCCATCAGGTCATGGTGCTCAGAGGTGGGAGCTGCGCAAGGTGATCTGTATTAGCTAAGGCTGTGGGGCAGGACCCTCAAAACTCAGGGCTCTGCACTGGTGGTTTTGTAAGAAGAGTGAGCAATCCCGAACACACACACACACACACACACACACATGTGCTCCCCTTGTCCTGCCACATGATGCCCTGCATCATCTGGGACTCTGCCAACAGGAAAGCCACCATCAGACGCAGCCCTTGACCTTGGGCCTCCAGAACCGTAGGCTGAAATCGATTTCTTTATGGGTACCCAGCTTTGGGAATTTTGCTTTAACAATGGAAAATGAGCTGATGCAGCAATAAAGACAGTACATACACACGCACGCAGGCACACATACACACTGTCCTCTCCAGGCATTGCCCAAACCAGAGCAGGCGGACGTGACCAGGAAGAGCGTGGGCAGGAGACCAGAAGCTCAGTGTCACCATCACAGGCTGCAATTTTCCCATAAGCCCACGGGGCCCGACATCCAGACTCAAGCCAGTGTGGGCCTCTGAAGACCCCTGTCTGCCCTGGACCCAGAGGCACCTTGGGGGAAGTCCAGAACCCACGTGAGGATGCACTGCCCTGTCTTGGGAGGTCTGCTCACTGCCTCCTTTTTTGAGGGGGGCTCTGTGGCTCTCTCTCCCTCAGGCTCTCCCAAGTCTCAGAGTCCCCAGAAAGGGCAGCGTAGGACTCATCTGCACCTAAGCACGCCCTGCAGGCTCCACATGGATTCCCGCAACAAAGGCCCGGGATCACAGCAGCCACTTGGGAACAACAGCCGTATGGTGCGCCTTACATAAACACCATCCCAGACAAGGAACAGGCCCGCATCTGAACTCGATTTAGAATCGGTTTTTAAGTGTCTATTTATAGGCCTTGCACAGTCACTCCTGGTGGATGGTGGAGAAGTCAGGGCTCTGGGCGCCTGTCCATCGCAACTCATTTGCATTCTTTTCATGTTCATCTTCTCTAATTTCCCAGCAGCATTTTAACTCAAATGCAAGGTCACCTACCACTTGGACCCAGCGCCACTTAGCAGCTTCTCCAGACAAAAACACTAATTTTCTTCCCCACGCAGCAGCACCTTATCCCTGCCCCCTCCAGAGCCCTGCACTGTACAGGCCACAGTGGGGTCACATTATTTGGGTGACCCGTGTCTCTGGACAGAAGGTCGCTTTAAAAACATGCTCCACAAGGTCGCGAGACCTGGGAAGGCCCTGCAGGCATCAGCCATCCACTCTCCATCTGCCTCTGAGTCACCGCCCCAGCCAGGCATAGTTCAGCTCCATCCCAGTGAGTGGAAAGAACACAAAAAAATGCATTATCACTCACTTAAGTTACTTGGGCTTTTTCTTGTAGCGGTGGGTGGTCCCACCATTCCTACAACTTCCAAACATATGCCTGCCCCCCTTCTCCCAGAGAGACAGGCAGGGCCGGGCCATTTGTCAGTGGCTCTTGGACATTCTGATTAGACAGAAGTCAGAGCCTGCTCTTTTTCCTGAAATTCACAATTATTTTTGGAATAAACCTATAGTCCTTTGCAATCTTCAGGCTGGAAATGGAGTCCGTGGGCCTCCACATAAGACGAAAACCCTCTGCTCTCTGAGCCATTCGTCCATTCATGATTTTTGGTTTGGGTTTGGAGAGCTGGGAGGAGTTGACCCTGGAGCCCAGCTTCCAGAAGGACCCGCAAACACCAGCCGCCAGCTTCCTCTGTACAGTGCTCAGAACTGGGTCTTCCAGGGTGCGGGGCTCTGTCTACAGCCCTGAGTCCACAGCAGAGGGCAGACACAGAGAGCACTTGCAATCAATCAACAACCGCAGCCTCCTGGCTGCAAATGCTGGGCAGGGTCTGTTCTCAAAGGCAGATTGTTGCTGAGGCTGCTGGCTTTCAGCTTCAAGACTGATTAATTTTCTCACAAGACGCCACTTCAACTGCCATCGCTGGTTCTGTATTATTTGACATGCAAATTTCTGGCAATAAATTGGATCTGTGATCAAACACTGTCTTTGAAATGCCATGTTTCTGGGTACTCCAGAGGGAAACAGAAATGATCAATA